GATGGAGGGAGGGGTTGGGGGGGCGATGGGGACGGGGTTTGGGGAGACGAGGAGGGGAGGTGGTTTGGGGGGTGACCAGGAGGTGATGGGAGCAGGGGTGTGGGTTTGGGGGGATGAGGAGGGGAGGGGGCTTAGGGGTGGTGAGGTGGTGGGAGGGGGTTTGAGGGGCGACCAGGAGGTGAGGGGAGTGGGTGTGGGGGTTTGGGGGGAATGAGGAGGTGAAGGGAGGGGGCTTGGAAGGATGGAGAGGTGAGGGGAGGAGGTTTGGGGGGTGATGGGGTGAGGAGAGGGGGCTTAGGAGATGATGAGGATGTGAGGGGAGAGGGCTTGGGGGGGCTACCAGGAGGTGAGGAGAGGGGATTTAGGGAGGTGATGAAGAGGTGAGTGGCACAGGGGGTGGGTTTGGGGGATGATCAGGAGTTGAGGGGCGTAGGTTTCAGGGGTCTCTGAGCACTCAGCCGACCACCCACACCCCTGCTCTTCCCTCCCAGTTCGAGCGCTGCAGCCACTTCTTCCAGATGAAAAACATCTCCTTCTGCGGGTGCCACCCCCGGAACAGCTGGTGAGCCCCCCAGCCCCCCATGGGCATCACAAGGGACCCCCATCCCCTGCCAGGGGCACCCACAGGCCACACCCGGACCCCCTGCCCACTCCTGGTCCCGCTGTGGCTGCCCCGGGGGCCTTGGTGGGTGTCTCCCTGCCCAGGGCAGGGTAGGGGTGCCCCCCTCACCCTGTGCCCCCCTCACCCTGTTCCCCCTCACCCTGTGCCCCCCTCGCCCTGTACCCCCTCGCCCTGTACCCCCTCACCCTGTTCCCCCTCACCCTGTTCCCCCTCACCCTGTTCCCCCCTCGCCCTGTTCCCCCTCACCCTGTTCCCCCCTCGCCCTGTGCCCCCCACAGCTACTTCGGGTTCATCACCAAGCACCCGGTGCTGAGCCGCTTCGCCTGCCACGTGTTCGTGTCCCAGGAGTCCATGAGACACGTGGCCGAGTGTGTCGGGTACGGAGGGGACGGGGACGGGGGACACGGGGGGGTGGGACCGTGGGATTGGGTGCAGGGCAGGTGGGGAGGTTGGGACTGGGGGTCTGGGTGCCAGGGGCTTAGGGGTGCAGGCAGTCTGGGGGTACTGAGGGTCTGGGGATGCTGGGTGCAGGGGGTCTGGGGGTGCAGGGGGTCTGGGCACCAGGGCACTGAGTGCTGGGGGACTGGCAGTACCAGAGGTGAGGGTGCAGTGGAGCTGGGTGCTGGGGGACTGGGTGCAGGACGACTGGGTGCTGGGGGGCTGGCAGAGGGCTGGGTGGCTGGGGCTGGGGGTGCTGGGGTATGGGTGAGGGGGCAGGGGTCTGTGGGTCTGGCAGGGCGGGGGGTACAGGTGTGAGGGGGCAGGGGTTTAGGGGGTTGGCAGTGCTGGGGCTGGGGGTGCAGAGGGGCTGGGGGTGCTGGATGTCTGGGTGCAGGGGGCTGGCTGTGCTGGGAGCCTGGGTGCCAGGGGACTGGGACTGTCAGGGCTGGGGTGTGGGTACAGGGCATCTGGATCCTGGAGAGGGGACTGTGCCAGCTCTGGGGGGTGCTGGGGGGCTGACACTGCTACAGGTAGGGGTGCAGTGGAGCTGTGGGTGCTGGGGGGGGTCTGGGTGCTGGGGTGTGGCTGTGCCAGGTTTGGGGGTGCGGGGGATTCAGGGGATTGGGGTCCCAACCCTGAACCCCCCCCCGTTGTGCCCGTCCCCGCAGCCGAGCATTTCAGGAATATTACCAGGAGCACCTGGAATACGCCTGCCCCACAGAGGACATCTACCTGGAGTAGGG